AAAAGCAGACCCACATTGGTTTTATTATTGTTTTCAAATTCTCAGCAGGTGATGCACTCCCTTATTGCTGGTGGCTGAAGTGGACCCCTTCCATACCCTACCCTTGGAATGCCCTTGCCAGTAGCTATCAAAATTTTAAATGCATGTACCTTTTAACCAAGCAATTACAATTCTTTGAACACATTGTTCTGTTGTCCCTATGCAAGTAGTCAAGATGTATGTGAAAGAATTTTCATTGCATTATTCACAACAGCAAAAAAAAGAACCGGGAATGAGCCGGCCCCACGGCTTAGCGGTTAAGTGCTCACGCTCCACTACTGGCGGCCTGGGTTCAGATCGCGGGCGCGCGCCGACGCACCACTTCTCTGGCCATGCTGAGGCTGCATCCCACACACAGCAACTAGAAGGATGTGCAACTATGACATACAACTATCTACTGGGGCTTTGGGGGAAAAAAGGAGGAGGATTGGCAATAGATGTTGGCTCAGAGCCAGTCTTCCTCAGCAAAAAGAGGATTAGCATGAATGTTAGCTCAGGGCTGATCTTCCTCACACACAAAAAAAAAAAAGAACTGGGAATAATTGAAAGGTCCATCAAGAGGCAGTGGCTGAATTAATTCTGCCATGTCCATACAGTGGAATCTGATACAGCCTTTAAAAGAATTAAGTCAGCCTATATGCATTGTGCAGAAAGGGTACTCATGATATAATAGTAACCACAAAAAGCAAGCAGTTGAATGATTTGGTAAAGGATCCCATTTATGTAGAGAAATAAATGTACAAGCCTGGTCTAGTGCCCAGAAGGGCCAGAAAGGCCAGAAGGGCATTGGTCCAGGCAGAGGAGAGGTATCTAAGCAATGGAGGGCAAGTCCCGGCTCACTGTGAATTCTCAGCTCATCTTATACACGTCCCTTCATAGATAAAACTGTACTAGGGGGACGGCAGTTACTCCCTAAATTGTCTCAGGGAGAAGAGAAACAAAGAGGAAGAGCCTAAGAACACAAGTTTGCACAGCCTTTCTTAGGTTCTTTAAATCCCCTTTTGGAATATAGATGTATGTACTTTCTGTATTGATTATATTGCAGATATAATACACAGCAGTGAGATTAAATATCTCCCTAGATTTCAACTTCTGATCAAGGACATAGAGAAACTGGGAGAAATAAGTTCATAATGACCTTGCAGCTACCAGGATACTCCAGAACAAAACTCTTTTAAACTGTTTAATTCATTTCTTATGCATATATAATGCTCTATTAACATTTAGTTCCAAATTCATAGAAGTCTGAAAAAAATGACAGGATATCGGCCTTTAATTGGCTTTAAACTAGGCCTACTTTTTAAAAGCCTAATGGTGACAGAAGATGATAATAAAGAAAATGTTAATATAGTTTAAACTAGGCCTAGCGTTTTTTTGTGTGTTTTTTTAATTTTCTTACTTCATAGTGTCTCTAACCTTCACTTTTTTGTTGTTTTGTTCTCTGTTTGAAGAAATGACTTCACAGGGAGAGGTATGTGATGGCCACATGAAGGTAGAATGTCATGGCCGTACTTCATCATGAGGTCTCATAGAGCTGAGACCTTAGAGAATGAAATCCTAAATTAGAGAGAAAAGAAGCAACATTGTGCATACAAACGACCTCACGATCAGCTTCATCCCATAAAAAACTAAAATTTAAATGGACAAATACTATAATAAAGGTAAATGCAAAATGCCAAGAGAACACTGAGGACAGAGTGCTTAAACCTTCGAGGGTGGTGGAGGTGGAGGAGGGGGAAAGGACTGACATTTGAAGTGGGTCTTGGAGGAGGGAAAAAAAATGGGATTGGTGTCCCGCATCCAGACAGCGGCGGACGTGGCCGGTGCCCAGGTGTGCGTGTGGGAAGGGCTGTGTATTTGGAGGGTAGACAGTTGGTGTTTGTGACTGAAGCACAGGTGGGAGATGACGTTATGTGTAAAATAAGCTCCATCCAGCCGTCTCTCTCACGACCTTTCTCCTGCTTCATCTAGCCATTGCTGCCCTCTCCCCGGCTACGTAACATCCCTCAAACTCTCCCTGCCTTTCCGGCCTCAATAACCTGAAGTGTACTGTTCTCATCTCCTGAAATCTGATCTTCCCTGCTCTGACTCTTCCTGGTAAAATTCTACCTGTCCCAGAGCCCAGCTGAAACATCTCCTCCTCCATGAGGTCTTCCAGAAACTCCCAGTAAGCATTATTTGTCTCCCTTATTTGAGCTCACATGTCATCTTTAAATGTTTTTACATTTACTTTTTTGAATAGTTAATACACGCCTATAGGAAAATTTAAAGACCACAAAAGTGAAAAATATGTCTCCCTCCTCTGCCTGCCCTCCAGGGCCCTGGGCCGTTCTCCCAGAGGCAACCATTGTATGAAGTTTCTCCTGCACTTTTCCGGAGCTGTTACATTATGACCTGCATTCACACGCATATATGTATGAATCCAAATGTGTAATTATCATACACACACACTCACTCTTTTTTTTATATACGAGATAGAGACAGAATTTGGACCTCTTTTCCGGGAACATGTCTCAGTCCAATTTAGTGTTCACTGGCCTAATTTGTCACAGAGAGAACTTGCAAATACTGAGTGCCTTAGAGAGCCTGATTGGAGAAAACACCCAGCTCATTTACAGATCTCGGCAACAGAAAAACTAGGTGTCCAAAGTGGCTGAGAAGTCCAAAGGCGAGTGTCATTTAGGCCCCGCAAAATCTCTGAGTTCTCTAAGGCATCCTCATGGCTTTCCTGGGTGAAACAGAAGCCATTGGCCATATCACTCATTTGCTTCCCAAATGTCCACACTGAGGACAGAAGTTCTCAGGCCTTGTAAAAGCATTCCCCACAACCTTAAAATGACTGAAAATCACTGACCAGATGTCCATGGGGGAGCAACTAATACAGGTCCTGGCAGGGAGAGGTGCTGGATAACCATCTGACTTGCGGCTCTCACCAGATAATCCACAGCTCCTACATGGAGTTTGATGTTCATCCTTTATGCCAACCCTCGTGCCTCCATGCAGCTATTATCAACATGTTTGAAAGCAGGAGGCATAATCCTAAATCTGTTTCCAGCAGCAGGACTTTCAGAAAACACACTCCCTGTAGAAGCAACTTGCCATTTCTATTCATTTTTGCCCTCATTTGTCTCTACTTTTTAAATACAAGACAACTTGCTACACAGGATAACTTTTCAAAGGAGAAAAAATACACACCTCTTTTACCACTGAATTCCTTATTATTTTAGAAAAATGTTTAATAATATGAAAAAGGTATATGACAACATTGTGACATGAAAAAAAGCAAGTTCAAAGCAGTATGTGCAACATCACCCTGGTTTTTCAATAAAAATAGAGGAGTAAGGAACTATATCAAGATGTTAACAATGGTCTTATTGGTGCAAGTATAGATTTTTTTTCCCTTTTTTTGTGCTTATCTCTGTTTTCCATATTTTCTTCATAAACATATACTGCTACTGTAACCAAAAAAAGATGGTAAAAGTAACTCATGATCCTTTGTAAAAGAAAATATAAATGTGTCCTGCAGTTCCTTGCTGGGTAAAAGTATCATTTGCTAGTATCACTGAAGAGTCACTGTCAAGAAAGTGTGGCACAGGAGGCCTGGATCATGGGTCTCATCGGTGCCTGAAAATGAAATGACTCTGAACAAGTCCAGGCCCCCCCTACCACCACAGTCACCTCATCTGTCAGATGAGCAGGTCTCACTGGGTCTGTAAGTCCCTTTCTTACTCAGTGTGGAACTCCTCACAGCAGGGCTCTTTCAGACACTACTCAAGTTTAAAACAAAAACAAAAACAAAAAACATTGGAATAGTCCAGTGATTTGGATTGTGCCCAGACCACCCTGCTTAGCACGCTAGAAAAATTCCTGGGGGAACTAAGATCCTAAGAAAAGAGGTTACTTGTGTAATAGAGATGGGTGCCACTGTTAGGATTTATGGGACCTTCTTTCCTGTTGTCATTGAGTGCCAGAATGGTCAAGAACATGCCTTAGCCTAAGGCTCACTTCCTCCCTATGGTTTTGTGAATGGGATTAAAATACAGGAAGTTCATTAGCCAAGATTCTCTCTCCACTGACAATGCATGGATGGGCACTGCCGAAGCATGATTCTCAGACTTGCTTGTTTTTGATGTTTCCATGGATGACCAACCTCTTCTTTCCGATTAATTCCTCTTCATATATATCCAACTTCTCAGGAGATAAGTCTCCAGTCATCTTCATGTACTAGGCTACCCCTAGTCTTGCCTTAGTGGTACAAGCCCACCTGAAATTACTTTCAAGGGACAACAGTAAGACTCCAAAAGTTACCACCCTGGACATCAGCATTAGCCAACCTAATCCCAAAGTGAACTGAAATCCACCGGAAGATAACCCCCTAACGCCATTCCATCCTCCTCTAACTACCTCTTCATTTGTACACTGTGCCCATATTTTGTAACACTCACATATACCATGTGGACATCCATCAGAAAGCTTCCTTCTGTTTTATTATCCCCAAAGCACTTACCTAGTAAGATTAAATTTGAAAACCTCCCAGTGAACTCTTGAGGGTTCCATTTCCCATGAAGCTTTACCAGCCTGGTCCAAGATGTGTGTGTGGGTGTGGGTGTGGGTGTGGGTATGTAATCAGGAACTAGAAGAGTGAGACCCATATTTGCTACATTTCTAAAATCAGGTCTTAAGAAACTTCACCATCATAGAGTCAACTACCAGTGGGTAAACTACGTCCCCTCCTTTTTTGCATCACTGGGCACATTATGAGGTAGAGGACTTCTTTCTCTCTCACATGAAAATTCTGTTGTCTCATCTTCTCCTTTAAATGATATTCTCCTGGCTGAATTCCAGTATCTTCTCAACTATGAGTCATCACTGCTATCCATGCATAGAACTGAGTGTTCTGGGCTCCTCATTCTGAAGAAGACTATATAGTTCAGAAGCATCTGATAAGATCCCCACAGCACAATTCTTTTTTTTTTTTTTTTTTAATAATAATTTTATTTATTTATTTTTCCCCCAAAGCCCCAGTAGACAGCTGTATGTCATAGTTGCACATCTCTCCAGTTGCTGTATGCGGGACGCAGCCCCAGCATGGCCGGAGAAGCAGTGCGTCGGTGCGCGCCCAGGATCCGAACCCGGGCTGCCAGCAGCGGAGCACGTGCACCCAACCGCCAAGCCACGGGGCCAGCCCCAACAGCACAATTCTTGATCTGGGATAATCAAGAGGCCTAGCTCAGAAGAACCCTCCCCACAGGAAGATGGCATGGGAAGTAGCTCCCCAATCTATCAGCAGCAGCTGCCAATCTGCTGATAAGGATCCCCTGCAAGAAAGTCTGATCATCAGGTTTTCCAGCCAGCTGGCACAGCAGGCACCCAGTATGTCCCCTTCAAGGAACAGCCTTACCAGAAGGTACCCTTTTACGTGGAGTGACATCAGGGTAATGGGAAGTCCCCTCCCTACTGAACATCTCCCCCACCATTGGAACAGTCCTTTCTCTAGAGGCTTGGTGCTTTGTTGAAATGTGAATATCTTTGGAAGGTAAAGCCCTTTACACCATTCCCACATTTATATGAACATGCTTCCAGTCTCATGCTTTCCTCAAAGCCAGTTTTGATTGGAGGAGCAGGAAGTTTCACAAAAATGAAAACTGTATACAAAGAGAGGTGAGACATTGGACGATATATTTTATTGGGCATTAATCCCACTCTCTGGGCCATTCCCATCTAAGTCTGGGCCCCTCCTAAGTTAGAATAGCACTGGTGGCCTACCATTTTCCTGTATTGTCTGTGGATTGATAATCTGAAGTGTCATTGATCTGAATTCTCAATAATATCGTTCATGTGTTCATTCCTCTAATTTGTGCTGCACTCTGACCACGTGCTGGGCACTGTACTAGATGTTGCACAGGGGATGAAGTCAGCTGAGGAATCCTAATCCATCCCCAAGTCAAGCATCCAACGTATGGATGAGGATCACCTGGGTTCATGATACTGCTCATGACGAAGGTGTAAGGAAGCAGTTAGTGTTTATTCACTGCATTTGCTACCCACCCCACAGCACTGTGAGGTATCATTAGCCCTGGGAAGTATCATCACTCACAATTTATAGATAAAGCAGTTGAGGTCCAGGGGAGTGAAGTCGGTGATCCTCAAATTTGAATATCATCAAAAGTACCCTGGAAAGTTGTTTAAAATGTTTCCCTGGGCCCCTCAACAGGACATTCTCATTCAACAGGTCTGGGAAGAACCCAAGAAACTATTTTTTAAATACTGGGATGACTCAGAAGCACAGTCATATTAGAGAAACACTATTATACAGCTCAGCACAGCCTTCTCAGTCAGCTCTTCATTTGACCTTCACAGTCTCAGAAGTAAGGATTATGATTTTATTATCTCCCTTTTACATGTGAAGCAGCTTCAGCACAAAAAAACAATCAGCCCCCAAAACAAAACAAAGTCTTTCTCCTTTTTCTTTCTTTTTCATCTATTATAAACAAAGCAATGGAAGTATCATAATTGATTATCTTATAAACAATCATTTATGACATTGCTGTTTGCAAAACCTTTCTTGGTCTTTGTACCATCTATATAAGAGCAATCAAACAGCTTGCTGTGAACTTAATAAATCTACCCCAAGACGTTGACCAATGTCTTTCCTTATCACTTCATTTTTGCCATTAAAAATAATCAACATTAAAGATACTTAAGAGACATAACAATCATATAATGGATGGACTTTCTTTGGGTACTGAATTCAATAACCAAATTGTAAAAAGGTATTTTTGAGACAATCAGGGAAATATGATTATAGATTAGATATTAGAAAATTCCAAAGGATTACTACTAAATTTGTTAGGTGGGATAATGGCAGCATGGTGGTGTAAGAAAATATTCTTGATTTTAGAGATGCACAGCATATATGGGTAAAGCGACATGATGTCTGGGATTTACTTTAAACTACTTCAGGAAAGGGGGAAAAAAGATAGATGAAACAAATATGGCAATATCTTGATGACTGCTGAATTTGGGTGATGGGCATTTGTGGACTTTTAGACATGTTCGAATAAAATACATAATAAAACAACTTTTAAAAAAAATCAACACTCTCACTTCCCCCAAAGTGCCATTTTCCCCTTGTACAGGCAACGCATAGTAAAACAGCTTGCCAGTAAGCATAATTATGTATCAGATATTCCCTGCACATCTATTTTTTCTAATTTGTTCTCCAAACCGGTGTTGTTTTTTTCCTTTAACTAATGGCCGTGGAACATAAGTATACTAAAACATTATTTGTTTATCTGAAATTCAAAATCTAACTGGCATTCTGCTTTTTTATTTGGTAGGTCTGGCAACCCTCGACAAGGGGGAAAAAACCCCAATCAGGCGTCAAGATACCTGGGTTCAATGTCATCCCTGCCACTGGCTTTGTAACCAGGAGCAAGCCACTGACCTTCTCTGGGCATTTCTTTCATCATCTGTAAAACAAGAGGGTTTCATCCCAGTTCAAAATGCTATGACACATGGATGCTATTCTTATTCCAACTCCTCGGATAGAAACATCTTTTAAACAAACACACCTAAGTGACCTCCTTTCTTCAAGGGAATGCTGAGAGGGAAATTCAGTAAAGCAAAGGCATATTGCCCCCAAAACATCAGGCTGATAAGCCAAGCCATCCACAGCACCCTTTATTGAGGGCCTACAGGGTGCCAGATCCTGCAGCAGGTGCTTTCATATATGATCCCACTTTATCCTCACTACAATCCCTTGTGGTAAATAATATTATCCCCATTTTACAGATGTGATGACTGAGGCCCAGAGAAACTAAATAACTTGTCCCTGGTTAACTGCAAAGCCCTGAGCTTTACACCACATCTCCGTGCCCTCACTTCTCTTACGCAGAGAGGATCAGGAACTGGAAGGCAGAACAGAGCTAGCGGACAGCTTCTAGTGAACAGCTTCTAGCAGACAGCTTCTAGTAGACAGCTTCTAGCTCCTAAGTTAGGCCTTCTCCTGTGAGTGAATCCCCATGATGCTGGGTATATTTATGTTAAAACACAAATACAGTGGGTTTTAGAACTGCAAAGAAAGCAGAATTTCCAAATACTTGTTGGCTCTCATTTTATCTATTGATACTTATAGATTTTATCTATTACTTAACCAGCTTTTATTAATTGCTTCTTAGATGCACAGCACTACACTGGACATTGTGGGACATTCCCTGCTCTCCTGGGATTTAGCCTATCGTGGAGACAAGGTATAGATGCTTGAGTCAGGCAACTAACAATTAAAGACATTAGGTACATCTAATTAATTAATTAGATACACCAAAGAATGAAACAGACCAGAAACACAGTAGGATCTAAAGAGGATGCAGATGCACGTAGGCTGGCGGCCTATAGATAACTTGTGGAGGAAGCAGGACTTAAACTAGGCTGTGAAGGGAAGGATTTGAAAAGGTTCTAGAGGAAGGAAGAGGTTTTCTAGGCAAGTGGAAATGCCTAAGGGGTCCCAGAGGAAGTACTTTGAATAGAGTCTCAAGGGGAAAGGAGTTTGAAGGGTAACAAGAGAGGGAATTGCATGGGCAAAAGCACAGAGGACTGAAACCAAAGACGTGTTTAGGGACCAAGTAGATCAGTGTGCCTGGACCCCAGACTATATGGGGGAAGTGCTAGGAAATGAGAATGGGAAGTTGGACCTTGATCCCGTAAGGAATTGGAAGCCACTGAAGGTTTTTGGGTAGGGAAATATGTTCAAAGTAACGTTGGGGGTAATTGGTCCAGCTGTAAAACATATATGAGGTAAAATGTTCTTTGTTCCATTCAACCTACACAATATATATATTGAGGGCCTAGTGTACTAATATACAAAGATGAATAGGATACAGTGCCTACTTTTAAGAAGTTCACAGTCCAGTGAGAGAAGATCACCAATTACAAGATAGTGTAAGTTGTTCCTAAGTTAATTTATGACATTATCTGTGGCGGGCATCATTAGTTTTCTGCTCAACATCCATGACTCTCTTTGTCATCAGTAACAGAATCCAATTTTATTTGTGAGACAATATGCAAAGACTCTGGCAACGGCTCAAGCTTGGTCTAGACAACTATTTCTCAATCTTTTTTCATTATCACCCCCCTAATAGCATTTTTTTTTTTTAAAGATTTTTTTTTTTTATTTTTTCCCCCCAAAGCCCCAGTAGATAGTTGTGTGTCATAGCTGCACGTCCTTCTAGTTGCTGTACGTGGGACGCGGCCTCAGCATGGCCGGAGAAGCAGTGCGTCAGTGCGAGCCCGGGATCCGAACCCGGGTCGCCAGCAGTGGAGCGCGCACACTTAACCACTAAGCCACGGGGCCGGCCCCCTAATAGCATTTTTAGACACTTTTTTCCTAATCACTCCACCCATGAAATTTTAATACCATAGATATATGATATATCCGTTTATGTATTGTATGTATATCTGTGCTTTATACATAAGAAGAGTAAGATTTTTTTTCTGCCTCTCTTCCCCACCAAAAAACAATATTCTCCCACTTAGGGATGATAACAGCACCACCCCATGCACCCTTACCCCATCCCCCACCCACACCCCCACTCCCACCACACTCTTTGCCCTCCCTCTTCATTAAGAATGCATGGTCTAAGGCAATTATACCACTCTATTTCCTGTTTCCCCACCCTCCTCGAAGCTGGGGTGGTCATGTAACTCAGGTCTAGCAAAGACACAGAAGATGGAAGGTCTCTGGGAAAACTCTTGTTTTCCTAGAAAAAGCGACAGCCACTGCCAAGTGAGCCTCCTTTCCACCTCCACCCAACTCTACACCTCTCAATGGAGGCACAAGGCTCGAAGCTGCAGCAACCATCTTGCAACCATGATAAAAGACAAGAGAATTGCAGACACAGTATCAGTGAGCCACTGAACTAGTAATAGAAACCCAGACCTCCAGACTTCTCGTTATGTGCGAGAAATGAATCT